CATGTATAGTGAACCCATATGAATCAAGTCTACTATTTTGTTTCCCTGAATATAACTGTAGCCTTTCATCACCGTGACTCTATGAAAAGTCACTTTTTCAAACTTTTTCACTTTTGAAACTGCACTAATTTCTAATCTCTTATAGTTTCAGGACCAATTACTTAAACCTGATTTGCTGATAGTGTTAACAAAGATCAAAATTAATGTTTCTTTGAAGCTCTTTTTAACCACATGCACACACAGCAGAAATCCAATTGCATCTCAATTGTTCATACAATGTTGAATTTGAAAGGTGTTAATGATATAAAATGGTCTTGGTCAATCTACCATCTTATTAATGAATAACTTTCAGCTCAGAGAGAATAAGATCACAAAATGCATCAATATCAAAACCACAAACTAAACCCTGGCATATTTTATCTTTAAACAGAGTGCACATCTTGTAGACTCTTTAGCAACATATTTTAGCTGAATGTGGTTATAATTACTTAAAGGTAATAAAATATTATGAAAACTTTTAATATGTATAATTAACTAGAACTTAAATTTGTGGGCAGCTACATAACAGCCCTCTAACTTCATAATCTTCCAATTCCCTTTACATTCTTAAAAATTTTTCTTTTTAAGATTTTATTTGTTTACTTGAAAGAGAGAGAGAACACACAGAGGGAGAGGGAGAAGCAGACAGCCCATACAGTGCTGAGTCCGTTGCGGAGGCTCCATGTGGGGCTCTATCCCAGGACCCTGAGATAATGACTTGAGACGAAGGCAGACGCTTAACCGACTGAGCCACCAGGTGCCCCTTAAAACATTTTTTAAAAAACAAGACTAATGTACTACTTGAAATCTATTTTAAATGTATATATTCCTTCCCTGTATGATCTATGGATTTTTGTAAGTGATGGGAATTCATTTTGAAAATAAAATTGAGGGGCGCCTGGGTGGCTCAGTTGTTAAGCATCTGCCTTCAGCTCAGGTCATGATCCCAGGGTCCTGGGATTGAGCCTGGCATTGGGCTCCCTGCTCCGCGGGAAGCCTGCTTCTCCCTCTCCCACTCCCCCTGCTTGTGTTCCCTCTCTCGCTGTGTCTCTCTTTCTGTCAAATAGATAAATAAAATCTTAAAAAAAAAAAAAAAAGGGAAAGAAAAGAAAATTGGAATTGCATATTCATTATATCGGTATATATTGTATTCCTCCAAATGATTACAGTGAACATACTTGACATATTTTCCAAATGGCCCATTTTTGCCCAATATATTTACTAAATGACTTTTTTTTTTTTTTTTTTTAAGTAAGCTCTAGGCCCAACATAGGGCTTGAACTCATAATCCCAAGTTCAAGAGTCATGTGTTCTAACCACTGAACCAGTCAGGTGCCCCCTAAGTGACTCCTTTTTATTAAGGTAAATATAAATTAAAATTAGAATAAAATACTAATTTTAAAATTAAATTTCCTTGAATTGTTTAAAGGTATGCACATATAAAAACTCTTATGTCTATAAATTATTTTGATTTTGAACACATTCACTGTGTTCATTTTGTAAAATGTTCATAAGTTTAAAGAATCCTAAATAACATATATTTGTTTCTATAACAAGGTTATTATTTAAGAATACACCTCAGATATTAACAACCACTGTTTTTCAAAATTAACTTATTGTATTATTATTATACAAGTTATTGTTCCAGATTTTTTTCCTACTTTTTTCTCAAAGAAAAACCATACTCCCCATTAAAAGTAGATTGTATTATGTTATTGAGATTATTATTTAAAAATTGGAGAAACTGCATTCCTATTCTTCATAAAATCATGTATTTTACAGTTTACATATTACATGACCTCTGGCGAATTGCAAACCCTAGCTGATCTTCAATTTTGATTTTGTTAAATGAAAGACATAATCATACATCATGAGTAAAAGAGTGATTGTAGTTCACTGTAAGTCTCTAATTTTTTATTTTTTTATTGATTTCAAGATCCATATAGGTGAAACATTTAATGTCTGAGGCTCCCAGTTTCTTCTGCTTCTCTCTAATGATCTTTATATCTGCCCCTCCTCAATCTGGCTCCCATAGTTACTACCTTCTTATCAGCAATACTTCATCTCCACAGCTTTGAATTTTGAACTTCTCACTCTCCATTCACCCCCCACCCTTTAATCTCAACTTCAACAATCGTTTGCCTTCCAGTGGGTTCTTCAATCCACCGATCCTGCTATTTTCACTTCCCATCAACTCTTGATGCTTTCTCTCCATGCTTCAGTACCATGATAAATCACTGAAATCATTCTATTGCATACACATCAACCCTTTTGCTACCATCCTACTTAAGTCCGATTCTTCACTGAGGTGATGCCCACCACAATGCTGCTGAATATGACCAAAGACCTCCTTGAAATAGAGAATCTCCATCTTAAATGAACCTTCACTGCTCTCAAGCCATGTTGCCGATAACTCCTAGCTCCGTCTCTCCTGCTTGCAAAGGTAACTTTCTCACTTTTCACTGAAGACTCCCACACTTTGTTCCTATTCCTCACCCTTAAATGGCAGCTTAATTCTTTCTTTACTGAGAGTTTTATAGTAGACTGAGTTCTTGTGATTATTTAAGTGGGATAAGTTTCCTGCTAGCCAATGGAAATGGGAGGATGTTCACAGTTTACTTACTAATCAAATATTCTTTGGGGTGTTTGTATATAGTTTTATCACTTGAAACAACGCTTTTCTTAGTTAGTTCATTTCATTTTTGTTGTTGTTTTGGGTTTGCCTTTTGATCATTAGGGCCCAATACTGTACTTGATACAGGTGATTCAAAGATAATTAAGATACTATTTCAAATCAAGAAGCTTATTCTAACTTGAAGCTAACTGGTCTCAGAGGTAATTCATTTTTAGTAGTTTTGAATGAGCTGACATATAAATATATGTGTCTAAATATGGGTGTTTATTGTGTGGAGGGGGTGGGTGTATAATCTATCTATCTATCTATCTATCTATCTATCTATCTATCTATCTATCTATCATCTATCTACCTATGTACCTATCTATCATCTATCATTATCTCTATAGAGTCTATCTCTCTGGCCCTCTGTTCTAGAAAGGATCTGAGGCAGATATCAAAACAGAAGGAAAGTCAGTTAGCAACATAAAACATTTTAACCTTCACAAGGTGCATAATAGTTTGGTAGGCTCTTGACATTCCCTGGGGGTTAGGACATCTGTCAGAGCTGAATGCCAGTGGTCTGTGAAGCTCTCAGGAGCAACAGGGAATACAAATCAAAACTGTTCAAAGAATGTTTTTCTTAATGCCACTTACCAGGAGTTTTACAGAATATTTAGTGGCTATTTAATCTGATCTGAAATGGGAAATTAGCATTCGCTTTCTAACCACATCTGGTGATAAGTAAAGGCACAATGTAGTCCAGAAACCATTCATTGCTACATATTTCCTACTGCCCATTTTGTCTGACATCTGTGACTGCTTCAATATGGCATAGCACATACAAAAGACAAAGTATTGCAGCCATGATGGATAAAGTGAGTAAGAACAGTCTATTTTCAGTGAAATAAATAACATTTCCCATGATCTTAAAAAGTGAAATATGCTTCCTCTTTCCCCCCAGTCCACTCTCCTTTTGGCTAAATTTATTTCATTTTTCCCTTAAGAATGAATCAGGGATTTGGCATTCATTTTTGATAGTCCATGAAGAATCCTTTTCAATTATATTATTGTAAAGTTAGCATGACCAATACTAGATTCAGCAATTTAAGTGAATATTAGCTAATTTCTGAACCAGCAATTCTCCTGTCTTTTTTGTTGCTGTTGTTTTATCGTTAACTCTTTTAGCAATCAATTCCAATTCTTATTTGCTTTTTGAATGTAATTACACATTCTGCCAAAGGCTTTTTCTATTTCTTCTAGAAAATGACTTACAAATCTCAATTCTGTAGAGTATATTACCCTGTAAAATTCAACTCATAATTCTTGCTTCTGGTGTTTCCCAAAACATGGCCTTTGGTATTGACAAATCTTTTATTTTCTGTTTTTTAGAAGTACTCATAAGATTAATGTTCTGTTCCTTCTGATTTTTTTCAAGATATCCTGAACAACTCCCATTAATTGTAGTCCCCTGTCTAAAATACTTGTTATATTTGAGTAAGGAACATTTTTTGGAAGAACTCCATTTCTCATTACATGTGCTCTATTTACCATGAATCCACAATAAAAGCATAAAAGTTGAAAATATTTTGAGTGCTGCAATACTAGAACTCAGTGCATTCCTTCATATTTTATATTTACCCTATTGAGTTTTAAATATTGCACTGTAGATCTTATTGCATGTATATGTCTTATTTATATATATTTTAGTTCCAGTATGCCCTCTTAATGCCTACAATGAACTGTTTACATATATAATATATGTATTATATATACATATAAATTGTATAAATAATATATATTATATGTATGTGTGTATAATCATTGGTAATTCAACCACTGAAAGAAAAATATTAAGAGCTTGGTGAAACACAGATTCTAAATGAATTTGTAATATTCTTGTAAAGTATTATTTGTAAATATACACAAGGGTATTTACTTCAAAAATAAATACAAAATGTTATAAATATTGTGGGAATTACAACTATTTGAATAGAAAAAGTAGCTGCAGAAGACACGAAAACCTTCCTATCAAAAAAGCTCATTTTTTCATTATTTCTCAGCAAAATCTCATTTTTTTTTTCATCTTGGCCCCAGCACTGGCTCAGTGGGGATTACTACTGGCATTTTGTAGCAACTCTGGCCCTTGCATATTAAGTAGCAATGGTACTCCCAGGGCATTTTAACAATCAAAATGGCCCCTCAGGACTTCGATTTAGGGTGTAGAAAGTGTAACAAATTTTGTTCTCATGCTATAAAAAATTAGAGCTAATCATATTTGATGGTGAAAGACTATATGCTTTTCCTCTAAGCTTAATAACAAGCCAATAACATTCTGTTTAACATTTTACTGGAAGGCGTACTAGAAGATTAAAAAGGAAGAAAAGAAAAACTTGTATTCACAGACAGCATGATTGGTTATATGTAAAATTCTAAAAGTTCCTTAAAAATCCCTACTTTTGGGGCGCCTGGGTGGCTCAGTCGTTAAGCGTCTGCCTTCAGCTCAGGTCATGATCCCAGGGTCCTGGGATCGAGCCCCACATCAGGCTCCCTGCTCCGCAGGAAGCCTGCTTCTCCCTCTCCCACTCCCCCTGCTTGTGTTCCCTCTCTCACTGTGTCTCTCTCTGTCAAATAAATAAATATAATCTTTAAAAAAAAAAAAAATCCCTACTTTTAAATAAGTGACTTTAACAAGGTCCAAGAATAAAATTCAATATACAAAATTAAATTGTATTTCTATAAGCTGGCAGCAAACATTTGGAAAATGAAAATATTTATATTAAATTTATTACATATATTAAATGTGTGTATATATTAAATTTAAATATCAATAAAAATGAAATACTTAGAAATAAATCTAACAATACACGCACAAGATATATATGCTGAAATTCAAAAACATTGATGGAAAAATAAAGAAACCCTAAGAAAAGAGAGATATATGAAGTGCATTGTCCAGAGGACACTATACACAATATTGTTAAGATATCAATTGATCTATATACTCAATGCAATCTCAATACAAATTTCAACTGTTTCTGTTTTAGAAATCAACAATCAGATTATAAAACATACATGGAAGAGCAAAAGATCTAGAATTGTCATATAGTCTGAAAATGAAGAAAATAATTTTAAAATTATTTTTACCTGATTTTAAAATTTATCATAAAGTTACACAATGAAGACATTGTGGTATTGGCAAAAGGATAGAAACATAGATCGCTGGAAAAAATGATCAAAATATACCCTCACCTACTTAGGGACAATTGATTTTCAAAAAAAATAAATAAATAAAATGAATTCCATAGAGTAAACATATTCTTTTCAACATATGGGACTTGATTAATTGCCTATCCATAAAAGACACATGACTTAGACTATGAGTCCCATGATATAAAAAATGTGAAATAAATCATAGAGCTAAATGTAATAACTAAATTATAAAATTATTGGGAAATGTAGGGGGAAATTTGTCATGTGTGGTTATGTAGAATTATTTATGCATGACACAAAAAACATGAAATGTGAAAAGGAAAAGTTATAATGTGAACTTTAGCAAATTAAGATTCTCTGTCTTCAAAACACTCTGTTAGGAAAATGAGAAGATAAGCTATGAATTGACACAAAACATTTGAAATACACAGATATGATAAAGAACTTGCACCCAGAATTTATAAAAAATTCTAGTAATTCAATAAGAAAGGAAATGACTCCGTTAAAAATAGATAAAATAATTTGAACCCACATTTCGTCTAAGAAGAGATATGCATATCAATTGATACATGAAGAGGGATCTAAAATTGTTCATTATTAAGGAAATGCAATTTTCTTTTCCCAGCCTCCACTGCAGTTAGTGTTGTAAGCATTTCCTTCCTGATAAAATAGCCAGACAAAAAGACTTTTGATGCTCTGTCCTTGTCTTTTTTCCTCTTGGAAATACTTGTAGAAGGACATGATGTTTGGAACTTAAGAAAACTAAGGACAACAAGCAGGCATGTTAGAATAGGCAGTAGAGGAGCTGAGCAAGAAATTGGGTCTTGCAGCATGAAATGGAAATCTTCTGCAGACTTGCTATGTGACCTACTATTAACTGGGGTCGCTATCAACTGTAGCCAAACAATAGTAATGTGGGAAATATGATAACTTGATAAAGGAACAAGTGTTAGAAAAGGATGTGCCCACAGGTCTGACTCTAAATATCACTGTCCTTTCTTTAAAACACTAAGACACTAAGTGATACACACATGGATCTTATTGCGCACAGATGTAATGTGGTGATGGGTTTCAAAATACACAATAAATAAGGACAGCTGTGTGCATTGACATAAATAACTGTGGAGGCCCAGGCCATTGTCATGCCTATTGACATCGGTACTTAAATTTTACTCAAGTGTAATTCACTTGAAATTAATCTTTTTTAGAAAAAAAATATTATTTATTTATTTTAGAGAGAGAGAGCATGAGCAGGAGGAGCAGAGGGAGAGGGAGGGAGAGAGATCTCAAGCAGACTCTGTGCTGAGCCTGAATCCCAACGAAGGGCTCCATCTCAGGACATTGAGATCACTAGCTCAGCCTAAACCAAGAGTCAGACCCATAACCGACTGCACCACCAGGTGCCCCACATTTGAAATTAATTTTAAACTTTTCCTGAGTTTTCCCCTTCCTTTTCATCTCCAGTTTTCATTATCACCCCCTTCCCTTAACTCCTTTGACATTTACAATGCACTTAAAGCTAACAAGACGCCTATTGTAGGAACAGGGTTGAGAGGAGCCAAACAAGTTTTTCACATGCCTCTCTCCTAACAGGAAATAAATATTACTCAGTGTATTCTGGTAATATCCAGAAAAAGGAACAGACTTATTAACTTGTTAGTAGGGTACAATAAAATGTTAGAAACTTGTCTTGATAAGTCTTGACAGATTTGGCAGAGACGCAAGATTTCTAGGCCAGAGACATTTTTTTTTTTTTTTTTTTTTTTGTGTGTGTGTGTGCACACGTCCTTTAATGAATACCTATGTGAAAAGGGCAATGCATTCTGAGTTGGTTCAGCCCTTGGCTCTGAGTTCTGTGTCACATCAGGCGTTCTTTCATCATCTGTTCCATTGATACTTTCTGGTGTTAAAGGAGACTGAAGATCCCCGCCTGCCGATTCCTGTGAAGGTGTACTGGTAAGTTCCATCTTTTCCTGTGATTTCTCCTTTGCTAGTCGAGCAGCTTCTTTAAATTCCTGAAACTTTTCTGCAAATTTTGAAAGATGGTGCTCAGAGGAGAATCCCAGTCCATAAACAGTGTTTGCCCGGCTATCGGCCCACTGGCCAAACTTCTGAGATGTTTTAGTAAATGTCATGTTTGGGGTGATGGTGCTATTAATTATTGCCTTTGAGCCATCTAAACTGATTATCCTGTACACATTTCTTGTGCTGTCATAGAAATAAGACACAGTAACTGCGTGCTTGCTGGTGGGTACCCAGTTCTTCTTTGTGTTTGGGTCAATCTGGAAGACATGAGCTCGAGTGCTGAAGATGGGTTGTTCCCAACTCACAGTACAAGTGTAGGACCATCAGAATTTGCACTAGTTCCCTTTGCCGCAGATCCCATGGGGAGGATGCAGTGTAGGCCCTGATGAATGTTGTGCATGCCCTGTTTGTGGGAAAACTGACCATCACTGACTGGAAAAGCTGCTCTTTTATATGAATAAGCAAACAGTAAGCAAGTCTGTGCTTTTCCCAGAAGGAGACATTATCGCAGTCCTCAAGACTCATCCCTAGAAACACAACCTGAAATTCGGCCCAGGTAAAGAGCAATCATTGCATTTTTGTGTACCTAGCAAGAATGGGCAGGGGCACTCAGACCCCTTGATGGTTTGCCTCATCCAATACAAAGTAGGTCTCCCTGTGTCTCAGCCATCACTTTCGGGCCACATACTTTGCTTTAGCTTCTGGGTTTAGATTAATCATGAGTCATACCATGGAGGAACTCATTGCTGTTTAAAAAATACTATGGTTCTTTAGCCAAGAAGTGGGAGAGTAACTACGAATGTCCTATATCATCCAAATGATGAGAAGATTATTAGATTTCCTTTTGTTAATCAATCTGGAAAGTTACGAATTGAAATGAAGTGTGTTTTTGTTAAAAAAATATGAATGTATAAAATGCCAGTAGTCATCAGTGGATGGCAGTCGGGGGTCAGTTTGTTTCATCAGATGGTTTGCCTCCTAACTTGACCATTTGTAATAGGAAGACTTCTTAACTGAGAAGGAAGAAGTGAGAAAGGAGGAGGATGGGCAGGATTGAAAACAAGAATAGAAGAGATCCTTGCTGTGGGCAAGAGTGTGGCATGGCTGGTACCTATAGCAGCCCGGGGCCCCAAGGTGGAAAAAAAAAAAGAATAGAAAGGAGACAAATGAGCGACACGACATTGTGGATAAAGGACACAAGAAAAAGGAGAAAAGATGAATTCAGCTCCTTCACAACACAGACAAGAGCAATCATATCGTGTCATACTATTATAACCCATATTTAATCTCTACTATCTGCCACTTAAAGTGCTTTTTATCTATATACTCAATTATATGATTTTTAAATGGGCAATATTGAGAGGAATATTTCTTTCTTTTTTTAAAGATTTTATTTATTTGACAGAGAGAGACACAGCGAGAGAGGGAACACAAGCAGGGGGAGTGGGAGAGGGAGAAGCAGGCTTCCCACGGTGCAGGGAGCCCGATGTGGAACTCGATCCCAGGACCCTGGGACCATGACCTGAGCTGAAGGCAGGCGCTTAACAACTGAGCCACCCAGGCGCCCCGAGAGGAATATTTTTTAAAAAGTAGATGAAATTGGAAGTGAATGTGTTAAAACCTTTAGGATATGGGTTAATAAGCCACACAAGAGAAATATTCATGAAAGGAAACTTCCAAACAGTATATTTGTATAAACATATAACTGGTGTACAGATGACTACTTCTGGGAGGAAAAAGTCTAAGCCAATTTTTTGTATAATGTCAGCCTGTCAGCCTGAGGCACAGATGATCGATTTATTTTTATATATGTTCCAGTGTATGATGATACATTTTGTGATTATGGATCTTATGAGCTTTGTAAAGAAAACATTTTATGTGATTTTCCTTATTTTAGAATATTTTGTTTTGCCTTTTCTTTATGAATAAAAATGGCTTCTGCAATTCAAGAATACAAGCTCTTCTATGGAACTTTGAAAGTTAATTAACTTACCAGGTAAGTTATGGGCTGAATCGTGTCCCCAAAAATTCATGTGTTGAAGTCTTAACCCCCAGTAGTTCAGTTATGACTGTGGTTGGATCTAGGATCATTAAAGAGGTAATGAAGTTAAAATGAAGTCATTAGGGAGGGCCTTAATCCAATTATAACTGGTGTCCTTATCAGAAGAAATTTGGACCCAGACATGCACAGAGGGAAGACCACATGGAGATGGAGAGAGAAGATGGCCATGTACAAACTAATGAGACAAGCTTCGGGGAAAAAACAAACAAACAAACAAACAAACAAACAAACAAAACCTGCTGACACCTTGACCTCGGGCTCCTAGCTTCCAGAGCTCTGAAAGAATAAATTTGTTTTTTGTTTTTTTTTTAAGCCACCCAGTGTATAATACTTTGTTATGGCAACCCTATCAAGCTATTGTAAAATGTCAGTCTTTTCATCAGTGAAATGGGGTGAATTTACTTACCTCATAGGGGATATAAGCTAAAATGGTATTTTCTTTCTTTCTTTCTTTCTTTCTTTCTTTCTTTCTTTCTTTCTTTCTTTCTTTCTTTCTTTCTTTCTCTATTTTTATTTCTCAACTACTTAAAGCAACACTGTGCTCTAGGGTGGATAAACAAAGTTGAGTTAATTATATATTATATTCATGCTCACCATATATGTTAACTGCAACTGAAATGGTGAACATATATTATATATAATGAGACATAGTTTTCCTTTAGAAGATCTGCTCTTTTATATTTTTATAATGATATAAAAAATATGCAATCTTATCTACACTGATTAATTTCCCTAATGCTGTGGAACTTGATATAATTCAAGCTTGAATTTCTGCTATCCTACATACATATCTTTTTAACATTTATTATAATTTAAATATTGATATAGCAACATAAGAAGATATTTTACCAAAGAGGAATGTATTCATATGCTCACATCTCAAACACAATTTTTGTATCTTTCTAGATTCTACTATTTTTGTTTGGTCATATTTTCACATAATTTTACTAAGAGTGTTTGTATTCTCATACTGCTTCATTATTGCTATTATTATTGGTTATTCATAGGAGTCTTTTCATATGCCATTAGTTACATAATTAAATAAATATTCAATCATGTGACTATGCTATATTATATACAATTATTTTTATTATTAGATGTGCACATGAATTAAAAAAACTCAATTAACTAATCAATATTTAACTTGTTTGTAAAAATACAATTTATGAATTGAAATTTTCTTATTAATTATATAATGCTGCAATATGGCTTCTGTGAAGCAACTTGCTAAATACCTAGCCTAATAATTCTTGGTAGCTTTGGAGCTGTAATTGATTTAAATTACAGGTCATATTTTAGTGTAAACAATACATTGTAGAGAGAGCTAAGAACAATAACTAACAATTGATGGTATTAGCACTATTTATTTTTAGAGTACAGCTTAAAGAGCATTCTTTAAATTTTTGATACACATAATTTTCTTTATCAAACACACCATGAAACACACCATTACAAATTTGAATTTTCCATAGGGGCACACTAACTTGCATTTCAAATCACTAAGGTAAAAATCACTGCACAGAAAATGAATTATTTTTATAAAATAAGAGTATATATTTAGTAGCCTTCTAGTGGATATACTAGGAAATCGTGGTGCTGAAAACTGCAAGAAATATGTGCACTGAAGTGCATTAGTTTTTGATGATCTCTTTGAAAGCAATTTCTGTTCTTTAAGGAAAGCTCTGCTTAATTATAAATTCAATTTCATGCAAGTCACTGTGATTTTGATTCAATGTTCAATCCCACCTGACAATTTGCAGTTATAAATTAACTCTCAAGGCTTATATATTGTACCCTGAGCTATTAACCACTAAGGTCCGCAGATGCTAGTGCTTCCAGTATGATGGTTTGTTCACAGTCTCTGATACGCATTTGTATGCAAATACTAATTCTTAATAATTCAGGACTGCTGAGGTTTGGGCAATTTCTCTTTCTCTGTGTCTCTTATAATGGTTTGCCAAATGGGGAATACAGAGAAATTAAAAATTGCCTTTAAGTCACTGGGCAAAGCAAGCAATAATCATTTTTTCTGTTCAATGCAGGGACTTAAAACTTTTGCTCTTGTATACATTTAGTGACAGATCTGTGCTAGTCTTGAACCTTATATGTCTTTCTAATGTTGCCCAACATGAATATTTCTATTATTTTGAACAGTGATCTGTGGATACATACACATGACATATGTCAAGTTAGTAATTTGCTAAACAAAAAATGACCTTAGTTCAATGATGCTGAATGGTCATAGGACTAATGAAACTATCATAGTGACTTGAGCAATAATTAAGAGTAGCTCAGGCAGTATATTCAACTGGACAATGAAATCACATTTCAAATGAGGTCTCTAAAACATATTCTTGATAACCCTTGATTGCACAAAGGAATATTATAGTGCAAAATGTTGAAATAACATAAAAATACTATAGACATCTTAACAAGAATACAAATGGAAACTCATGTATAATATATTTAAATATTTAAAAATTATAAAAATTATAAAAAAGTTATAAATTAAGCCACAGATGGTAAAATATATCGTGCTGCCCTACT